CTGGAGCCTCTGCCCTCGAACAGGGCTGTTCGTAGGAGCAGGCCATTGCGCAGTCTTCGCCAGTTCATGCAAATGATCGGCACTCATTATGAACAGATCTAGTCGCGTTTTGTTTTCGTGATTTTAAATTAAAACAATGGTTTTTAATCGCATGAGTTATCTGTAACTGAATTCAGACAGGAATCTGGTAACTTATACATCGTTCTTGAGCTGTTAATTTCATTGCGTTGCAATTCAGACAAAGACAACAAAGTAAAACGACGTTTGACATCACTTGGACCTTTTGAAAAATGATGTGTAATTTGTGATGATTAATGGCAATAGATTATTCCCGTAATCAAAAGGGTAAAAAATTAAAATTGAAATTAAACAGTGGAATTTCCCATAAATAGGGTTTTGGAGTTAATAATTGATTCACACTTTTCAGATTCTCTTGAGTAGAGGCTAGGGGTGTCAAAACGAGCCCGGCTCGCGAGCTGGCTCGTGGCTCGCCAGAAAACGAGCGATCTGAGCCGTAATTTTTTCAGCTCGCTAAAAAACGAGCCTAACGAGCCAGAAAGAGGTATGTGTTTTTCATAATCAATCATTTGTCTCGGGGGCTTGCCCTTCAGTTTCTTTCAGCCAAAAACAGTGAAAACGTTCTTGATCACCGAAATTCCTTGGATTTGACTGAGTAGTAGTTGGGGTTAGTTCAGATCGAAAAATTGGCGAGCGATCTGAGCCGAGGTTTTTCTGACTCGTTAGAAAACGAGTCTAACGAGCTGAGCCCAAAACGATCCGAGCCAAATGAGCCGAGCCCAAAATGATCCGAGCTGGCTCGTTTGACACCCCTAGTAGAGGCAGCAACGTGTGATGACAAAAAATGGCATGGTTGACACTCGGATCGACCGTTAAAGTTGACGAGGAACAACACGAGGTTCATGCACCCTAACTGCTATATACGTGGTTAATTATATGCATATACACACACAGTGTGTATATATATATATATATATATATAGATGTATGAAAAATACGTTTATATGCGGGTAAGCAAATTTGTAGGTTTATACATCACTGCATATACCGATGAAAAAACCCGTCGCAATAAAGGAAAATTCCGTCGCAACTCAATGTTGTCGTCGGTTGCGGCGCAAAACATTCCGTTGCGAAACCGTCGTAGGATTTGATTTGAGAAGGATTCTATTTTATTTAATACTTCATGGAAGGTTATATAGTTGGATAAGAATCAAGCTTCATTCTTTTCAACCCTCTTTATATATATATATATATATATATATAGTTTGGTTTTTGAGTTCTTTTAAATGTTATATCTTTGGTTTTTTCTCTTAATTGTTATAACTTTAGATTATGTATTCGATTCCAGTCATGGATACGAAATGTGGCAAGGTAATAAATTGAATTTCCGGATCATAAAATAAACCGTTACATGGCATAGATTATGTACCAATTCACATAAATAATCCAATACTAATATTTTATTTTATTTTTTATTTTTTTCATTTACCACGTTCTCGAAAGAATCGTTATCGTACATATCAAACTCATTCGGACAAATGGGCCCATCAGACCATTTTTCCCATGTCCAGACTCCAAACCCAACGCCCACAAATCAAAATCCAACACCACAAAATCACAATCTTAGAAATAACCAAATCAAACAGCTTCAAATCACACACACAAATATAAATATGCATATACAATACATATATATATACCCAGAGTTGTCTGAAATCAAACCAGAAGAGATCAAATACTGGAAGCCTTTTTTTTTTTTTTTCTTCACGCAATGTTAGAGAATATGCCGGAGAAGTTGGGTATCCTATCGATATGCTTCAAGGCGTTTTCCGCTACCTGCTTCGTCCTGTAATCCGCGTTCTGGAACGCGTCCACGAGCGCGGCGCTCACGTTCTGTTCTTCCGCTACCTCCCTCGCTATCTCTTCCACCCGTAAGATCCTCTCCACGGCCCATACCGATCTCCTCCTCAGATTCTCCGTCCTATTCTCGAGCAGAACGTTCAGTATCGGCGTTATCCCGTTCGCCTCATCCAGTACCCTCACCCCTCTCTCGACGTCTAACCCGTCTTCCAACAGCGTACACAGAGCCGTGACCGCTGCCTCTACCACCTTCTCGTTGTCGTGGTCGAGAAGGGCCACCAGTTTATCCACCGCCCGTCCTTCTACGAGGCAGAAACTCTCTCTCAACGAGCATATTCCCCGATGGATCCTGCAGGTTCCCGTTACGGGAGGCGGGTTGCTCAGACAGGAGAAGATCGATGCGCAGAATGTCGGGGGAGGTGTCTCGGGTATTCTCGTCAGTGTCCTGGATTCCAACGAGAGATTCTCTAATGCCATTGCGGAAACCATCTGGATATTGTCTTGCCCGTTGGAAAGCAGGTTAACGAAGATCGAAGCGAGGTTGTTTTCACGGCAGAACACGATGGCCCTCGGCTCCCTGGCAAAGGCGAATGTAATCCGAGCAAGGATACGTACAAGCCCTTCCAGAATAGATCTCTCGAACCGAACTCCCTTGATTTCGCCTTGCCAGATCCCCACAACCTTCGAGATTATTTTCTCGAAAGCTCCTTCTCCTAGCATTTGTTGCGTAATACCCGAATCCCTCTCGGGAAGTTCAGCTAAAAGCCCGGCAGCTGCTGCAGATGGGCGTATTCTCGGATATGATAGAAACAAGGCTCCCGAGCTGCCCGGTTGGACCACGCAAAGCAGCGGCTAGATCTTCACTCATGTGCGGAGAGAGGTTGTGAAGAAGTTTAATGGAGGCAAGACGTAAATCATCGTTCTCACGGACCTCGATGAACTGAACCAGACTGCTGATGGCACCGGAAGTTTTAATAGCCGATACAACGCTAAGAACAGTGGTCGGAGAACTGGTTAGCCCGACAAGTACCTCTAATAGCTTGCATTGGATTTCCGGACCCGTGTTGCTAATCAGACGGAGCAGATTCTCCACTACTTCTTCCGAAACAAGGGTTTGATCAGAAGATCCGACAGAAACTTTGTCGAAATCGTAACCGGTGTTCACTATATTGGCAAGGATAGTCGCCGACACTTCTTTCAGCCGGATCGGAA